GCAATCGATTCCTCGGGTCAATATCTAGCCGCGGCCTCGGGTTCCAGATGTGTGCAACTTACCCCTTACCCCTTAATCGGCCCTTAAAGGAAGGGGCGCGTCAAAAGTGCCTCAAGGGTTCATATTTCAAGGGCTAGATATTGACCCGAGGAATCGATTGCGACCCTTATTTTGGCGATCAGACGAACCCTTGAGGCAATTTTGACGCGCCCCTTCCTTTAAGGGCCGATTAAGGGGTAAGGGGTAAGTTGCACACATCTGAAACCCGAGGCTGCGGCTAGATATTGACCCGAGGAATCGATTGCGACCCTTATTTTGGCGATCAGACGAATCCTTGAGGCACTTTTGACGCGCCCCTTCCTTTAAGGGCCGATTAAGGGGTAAGGGGTAAGTTGCACACATCTGGAACCCGAGGCTGCGGCTAGATATTGACCCGAGGAATCGATTGCGACCCTTATTTTGGCGATCAGACGAACCCTTGAGGCACTTTTGACGCGCCCCTTCCTTTAAGGGCCGATTAAGGGGTAAAGGGGTAAGTTGCACACATCTGGAACCCGAGCCTGCGGCTAGATATTGACCCGGGGAATCGATTGCGACCGTTATTTTGGCGATCAGACGAACCCTTGAGGCACTTTTGACGCGCCCCTTCCTTTAAGGGCCGATTAAGGGGTAAGGGGTAAGTTGCACACATCTGGAACCCGAGGCTGCGGCTAGATATTGACCCGAGGAATCGATTGCGACCCTTATTTTGGCGATCAGACGAACCCTTGAGGCACTTTTGACGCGCCCCTTCCTTTAAGGGCCGATTAAGGGGTAAGGGGTAAGTTGCACACATCTGGAACCCGAGGCTGCGGCTAGATATTGACCCGAGGAATCGATTGCGACCCTTATTTTGGCGATCAGACGAATCCTTGAGGCACTTTTGACGCGCCCCTTCCTTTAAGGGCCGATTAAGGGGTAAGGGGTAAGTTGCACACATCTGGAACCCGAGGCTGCGGCTAGATATTGACCCGAGGAATCGATTGCGACCCTTATTTTGGCGATCAGACGAACCCTTGAGGCACTTTTGACGCGCCCCTTCCTTTAAGGGCCGATTAAGGGGTAAGGGGTAAGTTGCACACATCTGGAACCCGAGGCTGCGGCTAGATATTGACCCGGGGAATCGATTGCGACCCTTATTTTGGCGATCAGACGAACCCTTGAGGCACTTTTGACGCGCCCCTTCCTTTAAGGGCCGATTAAGGGGTAAGGGGTAAGTTGCACACATCTGGAACCCGAGGCTGCGGCTAGATATTGACCCGAGGAATCGATTGCGACCCTTATTTTGGCGATCAGACGAACCCTTGAGGCACTTTTGGACGCGCCCCTTCCTTTAAGGGCCGATTAAGGGGTAAGGGGTAAGTTGCACACATCTGGAACCCGAGGCTGCGGCTAGATATTGACCCGGGGAATCGATTGCGACCCTTATTTTGGCGATCAGACGAACCCTTGAGGCACTTTTGACGCGCCCCTTCCTTTAAGGGCCGATTAAGGGGTAAGGGGTAAGTTGCACACATCTGGAATCCGAGGCTGCGGCTAGATATTGACCCGGGGAATCGATTGCGACCCTTATTTTGGCGATCAGACGAACCCTTGAGGCACTTTTGACGCGCCCCTTCCTTTAAGGGCCGATTAAGGGGTAAGGGGTAAGTTGCACACATCTGGAACCCGAGGCTGCGGCTAGATATTGACCCGGGGAATCGATTGCGACCGTTATTTTGGCGATCAGACGAACCCTTGAGGCACTTTTGACGCGCCCCTTCCTTTAAGGGCCGATTAAGGGGTAAGGGGTAAGTTGCACACATCTGGAACCCGAGGCTGCGGCTAGATATTGACCCGGGGAATCGATTGCAACATTTATTTTGGCGATCAGACGAACCCTTGAGGCACTTTTGACGCGCCCCTTCCTTTAAGGGCCGATTAAGGGGTAAGGGGTAAGTTGCACACATCTGGAACCCGAGGCTGCGGCTAGATATTGACCCGAGGAATCGATTGCGACCCTTATTTTGGCGATCAGACGAACCCTTGAGGCACTTTTGACGCGCCCCTTCCTTTAAGGGCCGATTAAGGGGTAAGGGGTAAGTTGCACACATCTGGAACCCGAGGCTGCGGCTAGATATTGACGCGAGGAATCGATTGTGACCCTTATTTTGGCGATCAGACGAATCCTTGAGGCACTTTTGACGCGCCCCTTCCTTTAAGGGCCGATTAAGGGGTAAGGGGTAAGTTGCACACATCTGGAACCCGAGGCTGCGGCTAGATATTGACCCGAGGAATCGATTGCGACCCTTATTTTGGCGATCAGACGAACCCTTGAGGCACTTTTGACGCGCCCCTTCCTTTAAGGGCCGATTAAGGGGTAAGGGGTAAGTTGCACACATCTGGAACCCGAGGCTGCGGCTAGATATTGACCCGGGGAATCGATTGCGACCCTTATTTTGGCGATCAGACGAACCCTTGAGGCACTTTTGACGCGCCCCTTCCTTTAAGGGCCGATTAAGGGGTAAGGGGTAAGTTGCACACATCTGGAACCCGAGGCTGCGGCTAGATATTGACCCGAGGAATCGATTGCGACCCTTATTTTGGCGATCAGACGAACCCTTGAGGCACTTTTGGCGCGCCCCTTCCTTTAAGGGCCGATTAAGGGGTAAGGGGTAAGTTGCACACATCTGGATCCCGAGGCTGCGGCTAGATATTGACCCGGGGAATCGATTGCGACCGTTATTTTGGCGATCAGACGAACCCTTGAGGCACTTTTGACGCGCCCCTTCCTTTAAGGGCCGATTAAGGGGTAAGGGGTAAGTTGCACACATCTGGAATCCGAGGCTGCGGCTAGATATTGACCCGGGGAATCGATTGCGACCCTAATTTTGGCGATCAGACGAACCCTTGAGGCACTTTTGACGCGCCCCTTCCTTTAAGGGCCGATTAAGGGGTAAGGGGTAAGTTGCACACATCTGGAACCCGAGGCTGCGGCTAGATATTGACCCGGGGAATCGATTGCGACCGTTATTTTGGCGATCAGACGAACCCTTGAGGCACTTTTGACGCGCCCCTTCCTTTAAGGGCCGATTAAGGGGTAAGGGGTAAGTTGCACACATCTGGAACCCGAGGCTGCGGCTAGATATTGACCCGAGGAATCGATTGCGACCCTTATTTTGGCGATCAGACGAACCCTTGAGGCAATTTTGACGCGCCCCTTCCTTTAAGGGCCGATTAAGGGGTAAGGGGTAAGTTGCACACATCTGGAACCCGAGGCTGCGGCTAGATATTGACCCGAGGAATCGATTGCGACCCTTATTTTGGCGATCAGACGAATCCTTGAGGCACTTTTGACGCGCCCCTTCCTTTAAGGGCCGATTAAGGGGTAAGGGGTAAGTTGCACACATCTGGAACCCGAGGCTGCGGCTAGATATTGACCCGGGGAATCGATTGCGACCCTTATTTTGGCGATCAGACGAACCCTTGAGGCACTTTTGACGCGCCCCTTCCTTTAAGGGCCGATTAAGGGGTAAGGGGTAAGTTGCACACATCTGGAACCCGAGGCTGCGGCTAGATATTGACCCGAGGAATCGATTGCGACCCTTATTTTGGCGATCAGACGAACCCTTGAGGCACTTTTGGCGCGCCCCTTCCTTTAAGGGCCGATTAAGGGGTAAGGGGTAAGTTGCACACATCTGGAACCCGAGGCTGCGGCTAGATATTGACCCGGGGAATCGATTGCGACCGTTATTTTGGCGATCAGACGAACCCTTGAGGCACTTTTGACGCGCCCCTTCCTTTAAGGGCCGATTAAGGGGTAAGGGGTAAGTTGCACACATCTGGAACCCGAGGCTGCGGCTAGATATTGACCCGAGGAATCGATTGCGACCCTTATTTTGGCGATCAGACGAACCCTTGAGGCACTTTTGACGCGCCCCTTCCTTTAAGGGCCGATTAAGGGGTAAGGGGTAAGAGCTAGGGCCAAATAAAGGTCATATTCTTGCTCCCCGTCCCCCAATTGACCAAATATGAGTTTTTTAAGCGATTCTGAATCCGACGCTGTATTCGTTGCTGTTGCTGACGCTAACTTCACGGACATGAACGGGGAGGGCATCGGGGCACCGTGCCCCCCTTTGATTTTGGAGCCCTATGGGCGTTGCATGGAAAGAATGGGACCAAAAGTCGGCAGTGCCCCCCCCCCCTTAATTGAAGGTGTTCCGCCGCTACTGAGCGTGTGTAGCGGCCTACTCACTCACGGACCTTGCTCACGGCCACTCAATGAAATTTCAAAGGGGCTGGACTTGCAGCAGGAGGAGGAGCAGTTGATTTATTGCAGGCGATCGCTCCGCCCAGCAACAATAATGGGAGCTGGTGAGGAGGCATGCAGGGACCTGGCTTTGAAAGTAAAAATCATTGATTTTTGCAACTACTTAGATCCGTAAAAAATAATCTAGCATTAGGTACCTATTAAATGATTCTCATTTTATTATGCGTTCAGGAAAAATCATTAAATCTAATGTCTGAAAAAAGTCATAAATTAGTCTTTCTTAAACAGAGAAGTTGCAAACACGGCGATGGAAATGCCGGTGGTGTTGCCTCCTAGCTGCTTCGTGCTATTCGCTCTGAGTTTTAACAATAACTTTAATATTCACCAACAAAAGTTGCCTAGAAGTGATTAAATAGCATTTTGAATATTTTTCAAAAAAAAAATTGAGAAATAGCTCTTTAATTACTATTTCTATTTTAGTGCTGGGAATTGCGGAAGTGCTTCATCTCTATTTAACTAAAAATTAGCCTTTTTAGTGTTGAAACGTTGTTGTTGATGCGCAATATTTTGAGAATTTGTCAATGTTATTTTTGTTTTCCTTCAACACCAACAGTTTTACAAAACAAGTTGGTTTCACTTTGCACAGCATGCCGACTCCTCGCCAGGCGGCGCGCGCATCGCCCGCGTGTGAGGTTCTCCTCAGGGCCGTTGGCCGAGAATGACGACTAAACAAAGAAGGCCATTGGTCGGCGGACCTGGCGAGACGGCCGTAAACGAGTGCTGGACGCAGGATTTTATGGTCGTCATACCATTGACGTCTTGTGTCGGAATGAGTTATTATTTTCAGCTGTGACTTACGTTTCGTCGTAAAACAAACACGTGTGCGCCAGTGATTGTGATTGCGCCGCGGGAGCAGGTGTGAGTGTGTGTGTGCGGCGGCATGGAGGGCCAGCAGTATGGCATGGGCTACGGCATGCAGCCGCAGATTGATCCCAATGGCCAGGCCAACAACACAGAGGGCGAGCCGAGAAAACAGGACATCGGCGAGATTCTGCAGCAGATCATGACCATCACAGAACAGAGCTTGGATGAAGCGCAAGCCAGGTCAGTACCTAGGTGCTCGGCGCGCTCTAGAGTCTGAATTGGACGCCGCTCTAAGGACAACAGTAATAATATTGTACGTGATTTTTAACATCACAAGTGGAAAATATTGCGGACCTATCCTAACAGGCTCCTGAAATTAATGTATCATAATTTGTACGCGTTTTTTATGAACAAGTCATCTGGATGCTCTCAAACAATTATCAAACGTGAGGAGCTAATAGTGGTGGAAATCGTTACTAGCCTGGGATCAGCTGTCAGGTCAATCATGCATGGCAATGTTTTCATTCGCCTCGGCCGAATGGCAAGTGTCCCTGGTAAAACGGCACTTCACTGGGCAAGCTAAAAATTGTGAAAATATTTTCTCAAATTCGTCACTACCGTTAATTAAATCAAGTCCAGGCCTTCGAAAACTTTCCGTAAGGGCTGATGCCGTTTCCGGTAGGTAGTCACGGCGTGCGCTGCATTCAGTGTTCACCAGAAGTTTCATAGGTTCCCCGTCCCTTGACTGAAACCCCAGGTCCCTGGCGCGGCCGCTGCCACGCGCTCCGGGGGTCGGCGTGGTCCGCCGGACCGGTCGGACGGTCGGGCCGACTGCGGCCGACTTTGCCGACCCGCCCGTCCTGACCACTATAGTGCGGACCCGACCGGACCGAGACCAAACTGATACCATTGGACGGCACACGTAAATGGACACTTGTCAGGGATGCGTCCATGAGCCGGCAGCGCACAGAACGAAAAATATCCGTATTATTTTGCCGCCTTAAATACTTTTGAGCTGTTTAGATGGTCAGTAGGCTCATCGAACGGATAAAGGATAAGAGACTGATTTTATTATTTTTATTCAAAATTACGTTTGCGAGCCCAGCCTGGCGAAAGTAATAAGTGTTATAGCTGCTCAATTAGTAAATCCGCAAGATCAAATCGGTATAGTTCCTGAAATAGCTTTGCTCATGCGGTATGTTAATGATAGCGTGTGACATTTCTCTAGAATCCAGAGACTGCTACCGAAGGACCATATCAGCCATTGTATCTGTTGAATAACAAATCATGTTTTGTCTGCGTACATGGATCGTTTGAGGACTTAATCCATCAGGCGCTCGTGTGTGTACCTTGCATTGTGTTTTGAGGATTTCCAGAGCATATTCAGTAGCTGTTAACAAGGCCCGTTACATCCTCCTGCCAGTTGAGGAAATATCCCTGTCCCCTGGAGCTAAAAAATGCCGCGGATCTATGTCAACTGGCGCTCAAATGACCTTTGGATTACATATTTGAAATAGCATTTTTCGCGCAGCGCTCATTTCCTCTAAATACCTCGCTATTGTCCCCTTATCTTTCATGATCAGGGGAGTGAAGACTAAACGTATCGCGTCATTTATTGCGCTCAGATTGGTAGGCGGTACAAGGCATCAGCAAACACCAAATGCATGTTTCTGCCTGATATGACGATAGCTGAATCGCTCATATCAAAGTCTGACATGTCGCGGCTTAAGGTGGCCGCACGGGTCCCAAGTTTATGAACGCGATAGACGAATATTCGGAGGAATGTCTGCATTTGTGTCGTATTTTCGGGAAACTTAGGACGGACGAGTATGACAAAGGAAGTCAGACATGCGACATGTTTCTGATGTGGTGATTGAAGTCATTTATCAGCCAGATGTTTTGTCAAGCGTCAGTAGTATCAGTGCATCATCTCAGCACGGTTAGGCAGTCTTCTCAGGGGGCCCTGTATCGGGCCGCATGTGTCGCCACCAAATTCACGTACCCATGTGCAAGGGCGATACAAGGCCAAAACAGCCCTGTAGCAGTTCAGCACCAACCTGACTAGCTTCTGTATTGAGTCTAGGAGCTAGCTACATACACAAGCCACATGGAAAACGGTATCGGCAGCTATTTGCATCCGTAACAGTGGCGGCAGAAAAGGACGTTTGTTCACAGCTTTTACCTAAACGGTGAAGGCTTTTTAAGCTTTGAAGGCCTGGCTGCACTATGTGTTTTCTGCGTGCGTTTTTGTGGCTTTGCGTTTTTTTTTTGCGTAATATCGTTCTAGAAAAAAAGTTATAAATAATATAACATTTACATTAGTTGCATGCAAAAGTTAATGGAACACGTATATTAACTAAAATTTAATATAAAAACATCGCAAAAACGTAATGTTGTACGCATATTTGTTATCTATGTATTAGTAATCGCCACGCACTTTCAGAATGTGGATCGCTCATGATTGTTCAATACAATACAATACAATACAATATCTTCCGGCATATCAGCCGCCTTTCTTTCATGCGCTATAAGAAGCTGTTGTATAAAAATTAATTGTTTTACGTGCTAACAAGTATCTTTTATGTACTTTTCATTGTGCTATAATGTGCTTGTATGTGTTTTTACGTAACGAGTTCTGTAGTATTGTTTCCCGCAAAGGATTTCATTTTAAAGGGCCTAAACGAAGCGTTACAAATAACTTAAGCTCTTGTCGCGTTTGTTTTCTAGTAACTACCTATGTATCGTACATAACATATTATGGGTACATTGGGTAGTTGTATTCACTGAAGTGGATTTAATTGTATGTATGGGTGAAATTATTACACAACACATCCATCACCAATTTTCACTTATTTTCAAAGTTACTTAATCGCGCTCAACCAAGCGTCTAAACACAAGCACACATCACCGGCGTTTTATAGTTTGCAGTTGTGCAAAATGGAGGTACTGTTTCGATGAAAATAAATCGGTTCGTGTCTTCCCTTTGACATGAACTACACCTTTTTATGCCAAATTTGGACACAGTTCAGTGCAACCGATTTCGACAGTTACCCATAGACAGACTATGCCGTAGGTACTGTCGAAATCGCCTGCTCTGTTACTGAAATGTGTGCACTGCCGCCTAAATTGGGCGTAACAAGGTGTGTAAAATGTTTGGCAACCAACCTAGCCAAAACTGCAGACCCTACTGTAAGATAGCAAAGTGCACGAAAGTGGTGTCCTGCGGATAATTGGTCGCCATGAAGGAGGTGGCACAGAGGTCACCCTTTGCCCCAAACTGCTCACTATATCGGGAGTCAGAAATTGGTGACGTCCGTTCCTTGGGCACAATATTTCCTCGATTGCCTACTGCACCTCTCGCACAGGTACAAAACGCCGGCCCACAAAGTCGTTGCTACATTATAGGTAGGTGCACACATTTTCAGTCTGTACAAACTGCCATAACGATAACACGCTGTGCTGTGACTGTACCAAATGGGTGCGAAGAGCGTCACGCCGCGTGCGGCACCGCCCGCGGCCTCTCCTCTCCGAGTCACGACGCCTAGCGATAGGTGCGCTCGAATTGCATTACAAACATAGGCAGCTCATCTGGAGGAGCATGCCATTAAATTGACGCAGTCCGGTGCGGCTGCGTGGCTTTCCGTGATGCACATGCAATCGGATAATTTTTTCACACCTTATGCCTAATATTTGCTCTTCTTCCCGTGATTGTTAAAGGGACCCTCCCACCTTCAAAAAAGTTAATGAATTGGCACGAAAGTGATGTCGCTCGGTTCAGAAAGAGCGAAAACGAATATCTACCAAATTTCATCGAAAAATATTCACCGGTTTTCAAGATATTAGACTTTTACTTTTGTTTACTTTTTGGGATCTCCGCTGTTCCTAGCGACTTTATTTGAAAGTGCGGCATTTGTTGCGCGCAAACCAGCATATACCACCGCGTGCTACCAACACTGAACTCTATAATGGCTACCAAACGTTTTAGTAAAAGATTTAAAAATCGTTAGATCTCCGCTGACGTCACAAATTCTAAGGGGGCATACCAATGCACTAGCCCCTTAGAATCCGGAAACTGCAAGTTTAAAATTCCATATCTCCGAATTAAAGCATTTGTCGATGTTGTGAGTGCCCAAACCGGTATTTGCAGGCCATGGCCACCAATTTGGCTATCTCAACTCAAAACTAATGTTAAGGTGGGAGTGTCCCTTTAATACACACCATGCGGCTTGATACCACAGACCGCGTGATTTTCCCAAGGTGAATCTCATCCCGCTCAAATAAATCAGTACCAGGAAAATGTCGGAGTTACGTCGGTACATTTAATTTGCGAACGATTTAACGATCACAGTTACAAGAAAGCTCTCAACAGCATGTAACGTATGTAGGGGAGAGCGGGGCCTGTTGAGCCACTTTTTATATATTGATATGCACAGCGAGATCTAGTTGTCATATCGAAAAATGCACAATACTATGAAAATATACTCTTTTGGCTTTATTTTAAGGTATGTGAAATTATGTTTCAAACATATTTTGCTGCCAAACGCATGCTTATAAAACAGCTCTTCGCCCGTTTCAAATGACCCCGATGCGAGGGTCAATTGAACCAGCCCATGGGGTCAATTGCACCTATCCTTAACAATGGGATGTTTTCATCTTTAAGGCTGTGACTTTCTTGAGGAAATATTTTGTCCGGTTTACCTACTCTTCCAAATGCTACATTCAATAGGTCGTTGGAAAGCTAAAAGTGCAAAATTTCTCATAATAGGTGACATTAAGTATATAGACAATGGTAAAATGGGCGGATGAGGAAAATGAGGAATATCTCAGCCTATAGTGTGCTTTCAAGCAAAAGGCTTGAGATAAAGGGGTCAAAATTGAGCTCTATCAAACTGCTATTTCAGTTAAAACCCTCATTTTAAAGGTGGACTATTTCCTTTAATGTTTACATCCCCTGAACATAACCATTGCAAAGGTCACTGGGGTCGGTTGAAACGACCTGTTTTAACTGACCCTCAGAGATGCGTTTCAATTGACCCCATCCGCTCCCGCCATCACGCACGCGCCGTAAAGCACATGTCAAACGAGCTGGAGGGACGGCATCATGCGTAATGGGAGGCCAAATAAGGTGACATTCCGGAGCCAGGAGTTTTTTTTTCGGCAAACAAAGGTTTATGAGATATCACAAAATATTCACTAAGATTTCTCCCAAACGCCCCTCAAAAACAAAAAACAAGTGCCAAATCAAACTTACCGTCCGTTCGCCGCCCAAACACCGTTTTTTTTTTTTTTTTTGCTCCGCCATCCTAAAGCCAGTCTGGAGCCGGGGGTCATTACATCTGGCAATTTTGGCCAGGAACAAAGTGTTACGTTAACCTTCCAGGCGGTGGGGGGGGGGCAATTTTTTGCCCCCCCCCCCTTTAGTTTTTTCGATATATCTCGAGAACCGCTGCGCCGATCGTCACCAAACTTTCAGTACCCTCCCGGGAGCAGCTAGCGCACATGGTGACCAAAATTTTTTCCAAAGGCTACGATAGGTTGGCCGCTAATGACGTCAGAGTGACGTCATTTTTGCCATTTTCGACCCAAAAAAAGGTTTCGCGGGAAGAGCTGTCAGGCCTACAGCTTTAGAGATACAGAAAAATGTTTTTAACATAAAAGGTGTGGAATTGACAGGACTACAAAACTGCTATCTCGTTTTTTCGAATTTTTTGGATTTTGACCCCCAAAAATCAAAAAATAGATTTTTTGAATATAATAGCCAAAAAATCCAAGAAGTTTTTTGAATTTCAAAAAAACGGAATATATGTGATAGCTCCTACCGCCTTCTATCTACATACCAAATTTGAGATCGATACCTCTTTTTTTGGCCAAGTTATAGCGAAAAAACTGTTCAAAATTGATGACGTCAAATTTTCAAACTCAATTTTTAGCAATTCTAGACCTCGTAGCGCAACACAAAGACCACCATTAGACTCCCCGTGACGAGCTGCATCGAATCGATACCCATTTTATGCAAAAATATCAACTTTGAAATTTGACCTTTTTGACCTGACCTTGACCTGACCTCCACCAGAAAGTGACCTAAACCGTACCTGATGGTCTTATAACCAACACCATTGAGCTTGAAATGAAAAACTGGCCATAAAACATGCATCGCATAACCTTAGTAAAGTTGGGCTCATGTGGTGACCCTTGGTGACCTTTGGTGACCTGACCTGTGACCTGACCTGGTATGACCAGTGACCTCTAATAGCAACATATGTACTAGACAACTGACGCCTTATCGCTGATTTTCGACAAAATGCGTTTTACTCGGTGTTATAGCGCTTTCCCTAGAAGCCCCGTGAACGGTGAAACATTTTATCTTTGACCTGACCTATGACGTCATCGGTGACCCCGAGGTCAATGAAATTTGGTTTCCCTCGACAAATTTGACAGGGCTATCGAACGCCGTTTGAATTTTCCGGATCCGTCCAGTAGTTTCGGAGATACGGGGGGGGGGCAAAAAAGTGCCCCCCCCCCACCGCGCGGAAGGTGGCTGGTAGGCCCACCGCCTGCCGGGTTAAGCCGGTTTATGTGAACGACAAAGGAAATGGTCGAGCGCGCATGCGCAGTGGTGTCGGCAACGCCACCTGTTGCATACTGTTGAATTTAAAGCCATGTTTCATCTGACCCCGTGTTTCATCTGGCCCCCCCCCCCCCCCGCTCTCCCCTACTTTATATTAAACGCTGAAACGGTTTAAAACGGTTTAAAACGGTTTCGGCAAATTAATAACACATTGAATAACAAACATGTAAGCTCATTCTACATTCTACATGAAAATGATAAAGCGGCTGCAGTAGCGGCGGAACACCCTCAATTAAGGGGGGGGCCGACTTTTGGTCCCATTCTTTCCGTGCAACGCCCATAGGGCTAATGTTAAAATGCCAAAATCAAAGGGGGGCACGGTGCCCCGGTGCCCTCCCCGTTCCGCCACCTATGAGCGGCTGTTCTCAAGGCTGACGTCCTTTCATCTCTACTTGTGTACGTTTTGCTGATCTTCTATTTACCAATTGTTTTCATCATTTGTTTCCTTTTATTCCTATTCTTTCGATGATATTTCATTCTTAAGATTTATCAAAATTTCTAGTGACAAAAAAAAAATAGAAGCGTGTCTATCAGTTGTTAAAAGTGTGGTGTGCTGCCTATAGGCACGTACTGTTTCACGTTTTATTTGAGACAATTGTTAATAAAGCGTACGAAAGGCCATATTTACTTTAATGCGAAATATTACATTAAACTAAATGAAATTAAAGATAAGCTACCCGACGTTTCGCTTATATTTGCTTAGTCATGGGCGATCTAACACATTTCACAAATCATACATTTTTTGAATGCATTCGAAAGATATTACAAAGTATTAAACAGTTTATCAAAAACATCTCCCCGAAGGGAAATTCGGCGATCGATCGATAGAGTTTCTTCATGTCGTTTTCTTTTTAACTCGTTCTGCTATGCTCGTATGTAACTTGAAAAATCCTTGTGATACGTTCGTGACTTCTTCAGTTCGGATGTATGCCGCCTCAATCAGCCACCTCTCGGTTTTCTTTAGGTCGCTGTGTAGGGCTTCGGCACCATTCCAGTTCGGTAAATGTCCCTCTTTATGCATCACGATAAAGAGGGACACGTACGTATACTTTCGTACGCTTTATTAACAAGTACTGTTTCACATGGAAAGGAATGCCTTTCACAAATATGTCTCAACATCTTGCTAAAAATGACTTTCCACACTTTGCCGTTGCCTGTCATGTTGATTTGGAATTAAGCATTGTGGACAGTACATATACGCAGTGTTTTATTCGCAATGATTTGTGGATATTTTTGCTTAACCTGCTTTGAGTTGTATATTGTACTATATAAGAAAACATTTTTGTTTCTGACACTGGGCTTGCGTTTGCAAGAAGCGCAATTTGAGCCAAATGATGATCACGCGTTGCAATGTGCCAGTAGGTGACTATAGTCACTGTGCACTATAGTGCACAAGCCACTGCATCCAATGATTTCATGCTCGCGCGTCGTTGTATGTGACTTAGACTGCCAATAGTGATCCTGGTCCATATTATTTGTTCGTTCGACATATCATTGAGGTTTTGTTTTGGATAACTGGTGTTGATTTGCCGAAAACATTTTGTTTTTCGTCCGTCGCCTGTATTTTGTCGTATGTGTTATGTAGTGGCCCTTACTTTACTCCTTCGCTCGGGGCTCCGATGTTTTGCGAGCTGTGCTTCGTTTTAATAACGACGTTTCTCTAATTTCAGTACCGAATTTTCCAGGAAGCACACGCTGAACTGCCACCGGATGAGGAGCGCCCTCTTCTCCGTCCTCATGGAGATAAAAGAGAAAACAGGTGAGCTCCGACGCCCACCAGGCAACCCGGTCTATACTGAACCGGCTTTCTGCACGTAATATCATATTAACCATCTGTTCCCGTCTACTTTTGTACCCGTCCCTTCACAAAGTTCACATCACTTGATCTGTTTACAATTAACGAATTACTCATATCATGCTTTGCGGAAAATGTCTCATACTTTTAATTATGAAGGTTTTTTTCACCTCTCCGGCCGTTACTTCAATAGCTTCACGGTTTTACCCCGTGTCATTGTACAGGGTGTCCCTAAAAAGTTTGCCCAAAGAATATTCAATAAAATTTGCATTTTTATTGAACTCGTCTGAAATTTATACGATCCTTTAACAATCCAAATGAGAAGTTAGCGGGCAAAGTTTCACGCGAATCGGTTGTCTTTAGCAAGAATGGTAGCACGTCAAAAAATCATACAATTTTAGCGCCAAATCAAGTCATTTTCAGCCGTGGCTAGCGCCTGTACTTGACCCGTATGATGACTCGTAGACTGCATAAGAATCATATGGAATATCGTAGAAGAATAACCTTATGCTCACTATCTTTAAGCAATCCAAAAAATTAGCCTAAAATCAATGAATATATTTCGGAAACGTTCCTTCTTCAGTTCAAAAAGTTAACTATACAAGCCACAGAAATGTACAAATAATTGAACGTCACAAAAGCGCCGAATTCACAAAAGCGCCGAATTTGTATAGTTAACTTTTTGAACTGAAGAAGGAACGTTTCCGAAATATATTCATTGATTTTAGGCTAATTTTTTGGATTGTTTAAAGATAGTGAGCATAAGGTTATTCTTCTACGATATTCAATAATGCTGCTCATTTTAGTACTTCGCCATCTTAGAATCATATGGAAGCAAAATGGGTCTTCATCAAAGCTGTAATATTCATCGGAGATCGAGTTCTCGGTTTGGCTTGTCAAAAGCAATGCCGAGTATGAATGAACGAAAACTGTAAGAAAACTTATGGCCAAAACGCACCAATAATTATGCATCGACGACCGCATGAACACATGTGTACAGCATTTCAAGCACCCCTGGCACTAGAGAACAGTGACACACTGCTGCAAGTCACTACTGATGATGCATCGTTTTTTTTTTTTTTTGCTGTTGCAATAAAGCCTAAGGTGCTGGCTTATCTTCGGAAAACTGTTGGTTTTGTTCGATGAACTCTTCTTGCATGTGCAAACTCGCAGTTTTAAGTGTTTTTGGTCACTTTTTTGAAGTGCACCTATCACGACAAAAATGAACTGATTGCGCTCCACATTACGTTATCTACTTATCATGGTCTTGGGATAACCGAAGGTTTGTTCTCAATAGTTAAAACACTATTCGTTAGAATTGTGTTTTTCTATTCAAAAACAAATACGAGTTCCCTGACAATTTTGCAAAAGCTTAATACTGTGTGAAAATGAAATGGATTGATCCTCAAGTAAAGGTTGTATTGAAATTTTCCGGTAGATTTTTTTCGGCACTCCAAAGCGCTAAAATCATACGATTTTTTGACGTGCGACCATTCCTGCTAAACACAACCGATTCGCATGAAGCTTTGTCCACTTACTTTCTCATTGCATTGTTAAAGTATCGTGTAAATTTCAAAGAAGTTGAACAAATGTTGCAAATTTAATTACAGATTCTTTGGGTACCTTAACTTTTTTCGGGACACCCTGTACTTAAAAGCTGACGAGGTGTTGGTATGTTGTGTCTTGTTACTTGTCGCGATTTCGTTGTAGGAATGTTTGTAACTGATAATTGGGGGGACAAATTACACATGTCCCTCGACGTTTGAGTTGCGGCGGACGTTTCCTCTGGTCCTCCGGTCTATGACGAAGGCCCTTCGACTCGAAACGTCATGAGCGTGGGTCATATTTCGAAACTGAGAATGCATCTTGATAGCGTGTTGTCACTCAGGTAGCCGGCTATTCTTGTAGTTTTTCCTTTTGTCCCACACCAGGATTTCACTCCATCCCCGTCCGAAAATTCGGCGCCGGGGCTCACTTTTCTCGTTCAGCAGTATCCGCTTATGGCGTGAGTCGGCTCGCCGGGGCTTACTACGGCCGGAATTGATGGCTTTATTCTGACCCTCCGCTTCGATGGCCCGTTTTATGTGCCTCTTTATCGTGTTTATTTTTCTCCTGCGCGCTGGGGCTTTTCAATGATCACATGTTGAGAAGTAATGAAACACTTGGAGCCTTTACGGCGTCATAAAACAGCAAAAATGGTTTTGACGTTTTTTGATTCGACGAACACTATGGGTGCGCTCAAGCTCGTAAGCGGGGCGGAACGGCGGATTAAAAATCAGTTTACATGGCCGTAAAATTAGCGTTCAGATGAGCGTGTCGGCACGGGCCATCGGCAGGCGGCGGGCGATAGCTGTCAAAGAGACGAGCCCGTCCGGCGGACGGCCGCGCGGCCCGCAGCGGCGGCATCGAATTGATCGCACGCGCGGCGCCGCCGGGCACCGGGGCCGGACCGGCCGCGTGCCGCGTGCCGCCGGCCACTCGGCGCCGACTTTTCGTTTCCATTTGTATGTTAATCAGAAGATTGAAATTCTCCCGAGCGGCTGTACAAAAATACAGAGTCGCGGACCGCACACGCCTGCGGTCGGCCGGCTGCGGGCCACCGTGTGGCGGACGGACGCGCACGGAGCCGCCGCCTCTGCGTCCCATCTCGGTCCCGGCGGCCGCCTCCTGCGCCTCTCCTCCCAGCCGTCTGTGATCAATAGCCACACACGGCGGCGGCCGAGCAGCCGGGGCGGCGCGGCCGGCGGACGGAGGTGTCGGCCGGCGGCTCACTGCCGCGCGCCGTCACTCGCCACACGGCGGACCACACCGCGGACCACACCACGGACCACACCACGGACCACACCATGGACCACGCCGCGGACCACGCCGCGGACCACACGGCGGCCATCCGAAGGCGATACATCCACATAGCCGTCGCTGTTTGTGTGCTGTTTTTGGCAGTTGGTCAGGCGGCCTCGTCATCGCGGCGCTGGCTCGTCTCGGCGGTCGGGTCACCGCGCCGGCGGACGGCGTCACGGCGCCGCTGGAACCGACAGAGCCGTCCTGTGCCGGCCGGCGAGCGCTCAGCGGCGCCGGGAGCCAGCTGAGGCGAACCGAGGGACGCTCTCTCTCTCTCTCACACGACCCTCTGCAGACGCAGTCGGCAAAAACAGCCGCCCGTCGTGACCGGAGGCAGACGGATAAGATATTGCAAACGCGAATGCAAGCGCGCGCACGCTTTTGAATGCGCCTCGTTCGCTGCATGCCGGCGCAGCTTAGCGGGAAAAACAAATTCCTGCTTGGCATTTTAAATGCACCTGTCGACTGCAAATATGAATGGTTCTGGCGGAGAACGGGTGGAGATGGGAAATCCTCTCCGCTGAAGTGGCAATGCAGGTACATTGAGAGCAGCCGCTCCGGCAATATCGTGCGGTGCGAGCTGCTGCGACAGCGGACCGGGGTTCTGAGACAGCCAGGTCGTCAGCCGGCACACCCGTCTGGTCACACAGCCCGGTCAGACCGTCAGCGCGCTGAGTGGCGGCACTCCGAGCCGGTGCCGGTGCCAGACGCGCGCGGCGACGCCGAGGCATCTTAGCGACGTTTTTCGCCACATCGGCGTGCTTTCTCCGTCGATGGCCGTCGAATCTGGCGACGACCGGCGTAATCCGATTCGGAGAAGTCGGCGGTGCACAGTGTCTCGTCAATCACCACCCGTCCGAACACGTAATACGGCGGAAAAATCCCAGCCGCTCCCGCCGAGACAGCTCAGGAACTTGTCCGGCCGTCGGCCAAGGCCAGCAGGCCCGCGCCGGACAGTCGCGTCACGTCACGGCACGGCGCCGCGCGCGTCGCGTCGGCCGTCTGCGGACGTCGCCGGGTGACGGGCTCCCGTCGGCGGCGCTGTGGTTTGTAGAGCGGTCACGGGGAGTTATATCGTGATGTTATGGTGGTTTAAAGGTCCGCCTCAGTCGGGCGGAGGCACTAATGCGCCCGGTGAGCCGTGCCGTGTGTGTGATGGCGGATTATGCCCATTTGTACCCAGGTGTCCACCAGACGCTATATCCATTGGTGGAAGTTGAGCGATGGCTCATAATGCTGTCGGCCCCAGCACATTGGCGCGATCTTAGTGGTGTGATTGCAGCTGCAACACAGACTCACGTACTTAACGGCCGCAGTACGTCGCCGTTAACTTGCAGTCCCGGTTTAGCGTGCTTATTTACACGGCAAGGTGCTCACTGTGTCATCGGGACAGAGCCAAACACGTTTCAGGGTTCACGACGGTCGGCCGTGCGTCGGAGGAGGTTCACCTCTGACCGGCCCCCGCCGAGAGGGCTCCCAGTGCACCGCCGCGGCTCGGCCAGCGGTGATTTAACGGCACGTCTTCTAAATACCTCTGTACCGCCGCAGGAGAAAAACGTGACTGTTCATTGATGTTACCGCCAGCCGGCCGTGACAGCTTGAAAGCCGGCGGATGATAAACGCCTCTCGCTGTAGATCTTTAGGGATCGTGACATTTACGACTCATCGATGGAAAAATTGTTATCTCCACGATGTAGACGTAACCTGACGCAGCACGAAGCCGTCTGTTTTCTTTGCAGTAATTGTCTGGAAAAGCAAAAATTGCGTCGCTGCTAAGAGCTATTCAGCGTTAAAGAAGTTTTATCACTTAGAACATTGGCAACCGTGGACACAATCGTAATAATCGGCGCAATCAAAGAGCTGCCGCTGCTCGTGGTGCATGTAGTGATTTTAATGACCTGAATGATTTCACTGGGAACCTGTTTTCATGACAAACTTATCGTGCATTTAATTCTTTGTGGACTCGTTCTGAGGATAAGTTACATGTGTAGCAATGTTTCGTGTCCTTAACCCTTTGTAGCTAGTTTTGGGTTATTTCCACCGGAAGAACTCATTCGTGTCGTCTCGGTCATTTTAATTAGGCGTACCGTAATTAGGTGGCTGCTATGGCCATCGGGTCGCGG